ACAATTTTTTCACAAATATAAATAGCTCTGGGATGAACATTCTTGTACTTTCCAGTTTGCCAATAAGGCAAAAAGATTTTAATCTCCACTACTTCTTTGTCTGGTGTTCAAGGCGTATAGTAGGGAGTCCAGTGAACGTAGCAAGCCTCATATGTTCCCATGCATAGAAGAATCCCTTAACTTGGCCACTTACCTGTATATTTGTAATTTCACTTTCTCATCGCACAGCCCCATTTCACCTGTGTCCAACACTTGGTTCCACCTAGCTTCCTGCTCTCTGATGTGCTTCTGCTCAAGAGGAAACATTTCTGGGCTACAAGGTCAGCCCAGGGTGCCCCCGCTACAGCGTGTGTGTTCAGTTGCTCAGTCGTGTCTAACTCTTTGCAACCCCGTGGACTGTGGCCCACCAGGCTCCTCTGTCCATGGGATTTCCCAGGCAAGAATACTGGATTGGGTTGCCATTTCCTCCTCCAGGGAATATTCCCAACCCAGGGATGGAACCCATATCTCCTGTGACTCCTGCATTGGCAGAGGGATTCTTTACCACTAGTGCCACCTGGGAAACCCCTGTCCTAGGGCACAGTATGCAAAAAAGATAGTTTTTCAGGTCCTCCATTCAACCTTGCTCTCTGGAGAATCAGGATAGACATCCATGGAGCCTTTGCCTCCTGTTTCGTGGAAATGTTTGCTCTGGTTCCTGGCTTCTTCCCAGTTTCCATCTGACTGCCCTTTTACCCTTCAGTCAGGTTTATCTCTAACTCGGTGGGCACTTTGTTTGCTGACAGGCTCTCAACTGAAACAGTGCCATTAATTGACTTTCTATGTTTTCAACTAGAGAGGAAGTTCAATTAGGGTACATGAATATTGGAAGGGTAAGACACAACCCCTGCCCGATTTACGCCTAGGCATCTTTCTCTTACTTTTGCTCAATTTCTAGAAGTGTCTGGGGCCCACTCAACCCTGAATATTCATTGGAAGAACTGATACTGAAGCTGAAGCTGCACTACTTTGGCCACCTGATGGGAAGAATCAACTCACTGGAAAAGACCCTGATGCTGGGAAAGATTGAAGGCAGGAGGAGAAGGGGACGACAAAGGATGAGATGGTTGGATGGCATCACTCACTCGATGGATATGAATTTCAGCCAACTCTGGGAGATGGTGAAGGACAGGGAAGCCTGGCATGCTGCAGTCCATGGGGTCACAAAGAGTCGGACATGACTTAGTGACTGAACAACAACAACGGGGACCCATAGGATAATCAGAACCATGCCTGGAGAATGTGGGGGGCCTGAGTGATCGCCAGGTTGGACCTTGCACTGTCTGCTCTATTGAAGACTTTTTCAGAAGGACCACCCTTCTCTTTGTTCCTCCCTTTCTCTTCCCTGCCCCAGGGGCAGGCTTTCTACTCAGGCCCATTCATCAGGAAGAGACCTGCCTACAGTGCCTGTGTAGGTGGATGCCAGTGGCAGCTTGTAGTAAAGATGCCTCACCTTGGCTCTGCTGGATCCTCTGCTTGCCCCACAGGTTGAGGCTCAAATTCCAGCCAGGAAAAAAAAGTTACAAATTACTTCCTAACCCCATGTCTTTCTCATTACCAGCAGTAACCTCCAGTGTGAACATCTGAAACACCCAGAACTTGTTGTATTGATTGCCTTCTCCCTCTTTTTAATGACACGGTATATTTGTCTGCTAGTGTTACTGTAACAAATACCAGAGACTGGGTGGTTCAACAACAAAAATTTATCTTCTTATACTTCTGAACCTTAGAAGTCCAAGATCAAGGTGTTGGCTCCTTCTGAGGCTTCTGTTTGCAGATGGCCATCTTCTCCAGTGCTATGCACTGGTCATAGCAAACCCCCTCTTCCAACAACACAACAGACGACTCTACACATGGACATCACCAGATGGTCAGTACCGAAATCAGATTGATTATATTCTTTGCAGCCGAAGTAGAGAAGTTCTGTACAGTCATCAGAAACAATACTGGGAGCTGACGATGGCTCAGATTCAGTTCAGTTCAGTCACTCAGTCGTGTCTGACTCTTTGCGACCCCATGAATTGCAGCACGCCAGGCCTCCCTGTCCATCACCAACTCCCGGAGTTCACTCAAACTCACGTCCATTGAGTCGGTGATAGCATCCAGCCATCTCATCCTCCGTCGTCCCTTTCTCCTCCTGCCCCCAATCCCTCCCAGCATCAGGGTCTTTTCCAATGAGTCAACTCTTCTCATGAGGTGGCCAAAGTATTGGAGTTTCAGCTTCAGCATCAGTCCTTCCAATGAACACCCAGGACTGATCTCCTTTATGGTGGACTGGTTGGATCTCCTTGCAGTCCTAGGGACTCTCAAGAGTCTTCTCCAACACCACAGTTCAAAAGGATCAATTTTTTGGCACTCAGCTTTCTTCACAGTCCAACTCTCACATCCATACATGACCACTGAAAAAACCATAGCCTTGACGAGATGGACCTTGTTGGCAAAGTAATGTCTCTGCTTTTTAATATGCTATCTAGGTTGGGCATAACTTTCCTTCTGAGGAGTAAGTGTCTTTTAATTTCATGGCTGCAATCACTATCTGCAGTGATTTTAGAGCCCCCCAAAATAAAGCCTGTCACTGTTTCCACTGTCTCCCCATCTATTTGCCATGAAGTGATGGGACCAGATGCCATGATCTTAGTTTTCTGAATGTTGAGCTTTAAGCCAACTTGTTCACTCTCCTCTTTCACTTTCATCAAGAGGCTTTTTAGTTCCTCTTCACTTTCTGCCATAAGGGTGGTGTCATCTGCATATCTGAGGTTATTGATATTTCTCCTGGCAATCTTGATTCCAGCTTGTGCTTCTTCCAGCCCAGCATTTCTCATGATGTACTCTGCATATAAGTTAAATAAGCAGGGTGACAATATACAGCATTGACATACTCCTTTTCCTATTTGGAACCAGTCTGTTGGTCCATGTCCAGTTCTAATTATTGCTTCCTGACCTGCATATAGGTTTCTCAAGAGGTGGGTCAGGTGGTCTGGTATTCACATCTCTTTCAGAATTTTCCACAGTTTATTGTGATCCACACAGTCAAAGGCTTTGGCATAGTCAATAAAGCAGAAATGGATGTTTTTCTGGAACTCTCTTGCTTTTTCGATGATCCAGCGGATATTGGCAATTTGATCTCTGGTTCCTCTGCCTTTTCTAAAACCAGCTTGAACATCTGGAAGTTCGCGGTTCACATATTGCTGAAGCCTGGCTTGGAGAATTTTGAGCATTACTTTACTAGCGTGTGAGATGAGTGCAATTGTGCGGTAGTTTGAGCATTCTTTGGCATTGCCTTTCTTTGGGATTGGAATGAAAACTGACCTTTTCCAGTCCTGTGGCCACTGCTAAGTTTTTCAAATTTGCTGGCATATTGAGTGCAGCACTTTCACAGCGTCATCTTTTAGGATTTGAAATAGCTCAACTGGAATTCCATCACCTCCACTAGCTTTGTTCGTAGTGATGCTTTCTAAGGCCCACTTGACTTCACATTCCAGGATGTCTGGCTCTAGGTGAGTGATCACACCATCGTGATTATCTGGGTTGTGAAGTTCTTTTTTGTACAATTCTTCTGTGTATTCTTGCCACCTCTTCTTAATATCTTCTGCTTCTGTTAGATCCATACCATTTCTGTCCTTTATCAAACCCATCTTTGCATGAAATGTTCCCTTGGTATCTATAATTTTCTTGAAGAGATCTCTAGTCTTTCCCATTCTATTGTTTTCCTCTATTTCTTTGCATTGATCGCTGAGGATAGCTCAGATTATGAACTCCTTATTACAAAATTCAGACTTAAATTGAAGAAAGTAGGGAAAACCACTAGGCTATTCAGGTATGACTGAAATCAAATCCGTTATGCATATACAGTGGAAGTGACAAATAGATTCAAAGCATTAGGTCTGATAGACAGAGTGCCTGAAGAACTATGAACAGAGGTTTGTAACATTGTACAGGAAGCAGTGATCAAAATCATCCCCAAGATAAATAAATGCAAAAGGTAAGATGGTTGACTGAGGAGGCCTTACACATGGCTGAGAAAAGAAGAGAAGTGAAAGGCAAAGGAGAAAAGGAAAGCTATATCCATCCAAATGCGGAGTTCCAAAGAGTAGCAAGCAGAGATAAGAAAGCCTTCCTAAGTGAACAATGCAAAGAAATAGAAGAAAACAATAGAATGGGAAAGACTAGAGATCTCTTCAAGAAAATTAGAGATACCAAGGGAACATTTCATGCAAACACGGGCACAATAAAGGACCGAAACGTTATGGACCTAACAGAAGCAGGAGATATTAAGAAGAGGTGGCAATAATACACAAAAGAACTATACAAAAAAGATCTTAATGACTCAGGTAACCACAATGGTGTGATCATTCACCTAGAGTCAGAAAATCCTGGAGTGCAAAGTCAAGTGGTCCTTAGGAAGCATCACTACGAACAAAGCTAGTGGTGGTGATGGAATTCCAGTTGAGCTATTTCAAATCCTAAAAGATGATGCTGTGAAAGTGCTGCACTCAATATGCCAGCAAATTTGAAAAACTTAGCAGTGGCCACAGGACTAGAAAAGGTCAGTTTTCATTCCAATCCCAAAGAAGGGCAATGCCAAAGAATGTCCAAACTACCACACAATTGTACTCATTTCACATGCTAGCAAGTTCATGCTCAAAATCCTCCATGCTAGACTTCAACAGTATGTGAACCAAGAACTTCCAGATGTTCAAGCTGGATTTAGAAACAGTATAGGAACAAGAGATCAAATTGCCAACATCCACTGGATATTAGAAAAAGTAAGAGAACTCCAGAAAAACATCTACTTCTGCTTCATTGACTATTCTAAAGCTTTTGACTCTGTGGATCACAACAAATTGTGGAAAATTCTTCAAGAGATGGGAATAGATCTCCGGGAGTGGCGGCGGCGCAGGGTGCGGCCTTGGGGGCTGTGGGCAGCGGCGGGCGGGCAGGTACACTGATGCTGAAGTGCTATGAGCTTTCAGAACTTCTGGAAAGACTACAAAGTTCTGGTTGTTATGGTACCTCTGATTGGGTTCATACATTTGGGGTGGCACAGGATCAAAAGCAGCCCTGTTTTCCAAATTCCTAGTAAGGACAACCTCTCTGAACCAGACACTCTGGCAATTACAAGTCCTAAGAAGAACCACCTCCCAGGGAAGTAGCAGGCTTGCAAGTTTCAGAAAGAAGCAGCTCTGAGTCAGAGCTTGAGCTAGAAAGAGGAGATGAAAAATAGCAGTTGGATCAGAAAGAACTGGCTTCTTGTAGCTGTGATTTCCTTCATAGGTGTCCATCTTGGGACGTATTTTATACAGAGGGCTGCAAAACAGTCTGTAAAGTCTCAGCCTGAAGGCAAACAAAAGAATTTGAATAATGGAGTAAAATAAATATTTGGAATTACTAAAAAAAAAAAAAGGGATGGGAATACCAGACCACCTTACCTGCCTCCTGAGAAACCTGTATGCAGGTCAAGAAACAACAGTTAGAACCAGACATGGAACAATGGACTGGTTCAAAACTGGGAAAGGAGTATGTCAAGGCTCTATATTGTCACTCTGCTTATTTAACTTACAGAGTACATCATGCAAAATGCCAGGTTGGATGAAGCACAAGCTGGAATCATGATTGCCAGGAGAAATATCAATAACCTAGGATATGCAGATGACACCATTCATATGGCAGAAAGAGAAGAGAAACTAAAGAGCCTCTTGACGAAAATGAAAGTGGAGAGTGAAAAAGCTGGCTTAAAACTCAACATTCAAAAAACAAAGATCATGACGTCCGATACCATCACTTCATGACAAATAGATGGGGAAACAAAGATTGACTTTATTTTCTCGGGCTTCAAAATCACTGTGAACAGTGATTGCAGCCATGAAAAACCTAAACAGCATATTAAAAAGCAGAGACATTCCTTTGCCAACAAAAGTTGGTATAGTCAAAGTGGCATTTTCCAGGAGTCATGTATAGATGTGAGAGTTGGACCATAAAGAAGGCTGAGTGCAGAAGAATTGATAGTTTCAAACTGTGGTGTTGGAGAAGAGTCTTGAGAGTTCCTTGGACTGCAAGGAGATCCAACCAGTCAATCCTAAAGAAAATCAGTCCTGAATATTCATTGAAAGGACTGATGCTGAAGCTGAAGCTCCAATACATTGGCCACCTGATGTGAAGAACTGACTCACTGGAAAAGACCCTGATGCTGGGAAATATTGAAGGCAGGCGGAGAAGGGGACGACAGAGGATGAAATGGTTGTTTGGTATCACCAACTCAATGGACATGAGTTTGAGCAAGCTCTGGGAGTTGGTGAAGGACAGGGAAGCCTGTCATGCTGCAGTCCATGGGGTGGCAAAGAGTTGGACACAATTGAATGACTGAACAACATCTTCTCCCTGGGCCTCTTTCTATGAGTATCTGTGTCCTAATCCCCTCTTCTTAGAAGGACACCGGTCACATTGGAGTAGTGCTGCATGCCTGCTAAGTCGCTTCAATCATGTGTGACTCTTTGCAATCCCATAGGCTGTAGCCCTCAGACTCCTCTGTCCATGGGATTCTCCAGGCAAGAGTACTGGAGTGGGTTGCCATGCCCTCCTCCAGGGGATTTTCCCTACCCAGTGGTCGAACCGTGTCTCTTATATCTCCTGCATTGGCAGCCAGGTTCTTTACCACTAGTGCCACTTGGGAAGTGTGGAGTAGGGTCCATATCAGAGTAGGGCCCACCCTAATGACCTCCTTTTTCACTTAAATACCTACTTAAAGGCCCTTTCTCCAAATCCAGCCACATACTGAGGTACTGGGAGTTAGCACTTCAGCATATGAATTTGAGGGGCATGGTTCAGCCTGTAACATGTGTTACATTTCTGTGATTACAAAAGCAACATATGGTCACCATAGAAAATTTCCGGAGGTGAAGAAACTAAGGTAAGAATCTCTGCAAGGGACTTCTCTGGTGGTACAGTTGAAGCCGTTTACCTTAGATTGAGACTTGAACCCATGTACTGGGACTCACACCCAGCCAAAACCCATTTTGGAACTTGAACTGAGCCAAAACCCACAGTCTTCAAACTGAGATCACAGACCTGGTTACAAGCTCAGGTTCTTTTTTTTTTTTAACAAGCTCTTTCTTGCCAGTTTTATTAAAGAAAAACTGTATATGATTCACTTTTCACCAGTCTGTTCTGGCATGCTTCTAATGATATCAGAATCATCAGGATCAATCATAGCCAATGTGCATACCTCTGTAGTACTTTTCACGTCTGTGCCCAATTCAGTATTATTGCCATGGTAGTGATGGACACCAGTTTTGGCCAACATGGCATAATACTCTATTTCAGGTTTCCTCAAGGCTGAGCAGTTGGTGAGGGTGACCGGTTTCACTTTGCCTTGTCTGATCATTTTCAGAGTCTGCTTGTACCCCAGCACATACTTTCCACTTTTCATAACCAGTTTGAGCCTAGAGTTGATTGACTCCAGTCACTTTTTCATCTTCTTGGCGGCTACCATCTCCCTGCCTTAGGTGCGGGATGCCTCCAACCAAGAGCAGCCACCAAGATGGCCGGGGAGTAAGAAAGGCCAGGCTGAGGTTCTTGATGTCTCATAGCAGAAAGAATTCAGTGAGAGACACAGTGATAGGTAACAAGTGAATTTAGTCGGAGAGAAACACACTCCACAGAGCATGGGCCATCACCATCACAGAGGGTGAATCCAGTGTCCTTGAAAGGGGTTGTGGCTAGCTTTTATGGGCTGGGTAATTTCATAGGCTAATGAGTGGGAGGATTATTCCAACTATTTTGAGGAAAGGGAAGGGATTTCCAGGGGTTGGACTACTGCCTGCTTTTTGGTCTTTGATGGTCAGCTTTGGAACCATCATGGCACCTCTGAGTGTGTCATTTAGCTTGCTGATTGAGGATCAAGGTCTAGTCAAAGTTGACTAGTCTGCCGTCTTGGACCCATTTGATTTCAATCGGTTTATGTTGTGTCCTTGGGCTATATCATTCTTTCAAAAAATCTGCCTGGCCCCCTTCCCTCCTGTTTTACAGTGGCTAAGACTCTGTGCTCCCAATGCAGAGAAAAACTAATTCTGACTTCATGTTGGAACTGTTTTTGACTTGCTTTTCATGGCTGTTGTTATTATCATCATACATAATGGCCTGCCTCAGAAAACCCAGCCCGTCAGCCTGACTGTTGGACTAAAAGTGCCTTTGTTGAGCTCACAGGGAGATGATCCGACCCTGCCCACCTGTGACTGGCTGCATGAAAGAAAAGACTGACACACCCTTCCCCAAGGCTGGCCATTTCCTGAGATGTTTTGCAAGACTGAAGGCTCTTTTTACTTTACTTCCTCATTGCCTCTCCATCTTTACTCTGCCTTTGAGTTTGGTTCCTCACTTCTCTCTCTGGTTCTGTAAAAGCATCTGGCATCCAGACCCCAACTAGATGGTTATTTTGAGACTTTAGTGTGCCATCTTCTCCATTTGTGGGCTTTCCAAATAAAGCCATATTTGTGGTAACCCAAGGACTAAAGAGCAGATAAAACCAAGGAGAGTCTTAGAATGCAGGAATGGAAAAACCAGACCCTTATTGTCCTTCCCATGTTGTAACTATTAACAGATTTTGGGTCCTCCTGAGCAGTATAACCTGTCTCCCCTCCTACCCCACACAGGGAGAAGGTATTTGCCTTACTCTTCCCCCACCCAGTATACGTGCCTCATCCAATCACCAAATGACCCGAAGACCCTTATCCCACTCCTTGTACCCTGGGTATAAAAATGGACTAAGGACCCCTGTTCAATATCAGTTATCCCTTGACCTGGTCCACTGTTCTAACAATGTCTCCCATTCTAATAAACTTTATTTCCCTCACATTCTGTCTCATGTCTGGAAATTCTTTTCCAACCCGTGCCCGGACCACGACAATATTCCTTGCCTCAACAGCTCGTTATTGACTGTGCTTGACTTTAGGTAAAAGGGGAAGTATGTTGTTTTCCTTACTCCATCTTCCTACTTAGCTGGCTTTTCTGAAAGTGAAAGTTGCTCGGCCGTGCCTGACTCTTTGCGACCCCATGGACTCTACAGTCCATGGAATTCTCTAGGCCAGGATACTGGAGTGTGTAGCCTTTCCCTTCTCCAGGGGATCTTCCCAACCCAGGGATCAAACCCAGGTCTCCTGCACTGCAGGCGGATTCTTTACCAGCTGAGCCACAAGGGAAGTGAAGAATACTGGAGTGGGTAGCCTATCCCTTCTTCAGGGGATCTTCCTGACCCAGGAATTGAACCTGGGTCTCCTGCATTACAATGCTGATTCTTTACCTACCAAGCTGTCAGGGAAGCCCAGCTGGATATCCTACATTTTCTTAAATGAGCTTATAAGCTTATATTACCTTTTTTTTTTAAGTTACCTTTTAATTAATTAATTTATTTATTTTTCTGGGCCATGCTGTGCAGCATGTGGGATCCTAGTTCCCTGACCAGGGATCAAACCCATGCCCTCTGTACTGGAAGCGCAGAACAGTCTTAACCACTGGACCACTGAAGTCTTAACCTTTGATCCCTGAGCTTATATTATTTTTTATAATGGAGGAAATAAACAAATGTAATAGAACATTGTCAGGGAGGACAAAGAAAGGGAGCTTTTGTTTAGACCAAAGAAATGAAAGGAAGAGCAGGCCTGCGTTAGATGCTGGGAGTGGAATCTTGGAAGGTCGGAACCTATCAGCAATGGGACCTTTGCCTTTCAGACCTGGAGAAGTGTGCGAGCAACTCAGGGAGGAACTAGCTCTTAGCTATCCCCAAGGTGGGTTGGAGAGTTTGTGAATGAACCTCAAGCTCCTTGAAACAAGGTCTGTTGTGCTGCGTGCTGCGCTTAGGTGCTCAGTCGTATCCAGCTATTTGCGACCCCATGAACTGTAGCCCGCCAGGCATCTCGGGATCGAGGAATCGAACTGGGGTCTCCTGCATTGCAGGCAGATTCTTTGCCAGCTGAGCTACCAGGGAAGCCCCCAAGGTCCTTTGGCCTGGACTAATTATATCCCTCCCACCGAGAAATGGGACGCTGAGTCAGTGCCTGTGGTCTTGGAAATATTCCAACAGAAAATGAGCTGGAGTGTTGGAGAGAGTGGAAAGGCCAGTCTTGATTTTAAAAGGAAAGAAAATGGGGACTTCAAACAT